GAGCTCGTCCCGAGAGCACGACCGCCACCGAGAGACTCGTAAGGCGTACTTATTAAAAGAAGGGAGGAAACGAGCATAAAGAGAAAAAGGAAAACACAGGAAAGCGAGGAGAGGAAGGAGACGAGAGCCTGCCGAGGGCCAGCGGGACGCTGACGCCCTTTTAGCGAGGGCAAAGTGCAACTCGCTCTCGCCCCGGGCAAGTGCGTGGGATGAGTGAGAAGGAGGGAGAGGCGCGACGCGGAAGACGATACGCCGCGGATACGGACGGAGGATAACTGTGCGAAGCGCGCCGTTGTTCTTTATTTTTGAGGAACTCGAAGCTCAAGTGCGTTGTCCCACCGTGAACGACGAGATACTCTATTTCTAGCTCGGGGACACGCGAAGAAAAGGAGTTGGAATAATTCATCATCAGTGCGGTGAGTCATTCGATTCTACCTGCAAGTTTCGGCAATTAACCTTGACAGTAGGGGAAGAGTTGCCTAATGCCCACCAGTCAGCTTAAGGCGCTACATTCTACTCCTGTTCTTTTATTTTTCAGGAAAACAAATTTAGATCCATACGATCACTGTTATTATCAGCCAGATCCAATGTATTAACTTCTGGCTTTCTGGCGGCAGCTAGTCCACAAAGGCAATAAGTAAACATTTCGAATAAACTCAACAAATGTGAGTAATTAAAAAAAAAAATGCAAAAAACTACGATTTTTACCATTTTTCTCAGATTGCAAAACCTGAAAGACCTATGGCGTTACTTCGTTGTCAAGAGATCGCGAATATTATTCACAAATGAAATGTTATTATTATGATTTAATTAGTCAAACTTTACCGGAAACAAAGCCGCTGCTTCGTCAAAGCGGCCAAGTAAGTTGGTATTCAATGGAAAAATAAGTGGAAAGAATAAGCGAAAAGGGGCAGAAAGGGGCAAGAAAGGGACCGGAAGATCGCACTGATGCGGTTCCCGTTCGCGGAAATCAGTCAAAGAAAGGAACCCGTCCAACGGGAAATAAGGGAAGGAGACGCACGCGCGGATGTACGGTGCGAGCGCGGGATGCGCCATTTTCGGAGTGCGCATAATGAAAACGCGCGAGCGAATTTCAAAGAGCCCGGTGTCGCCTATCGGGCGCCACTCGACTCGCTTCTCGAAATATATTATCCGCCGTTTCACGGCGGACCCCGTCGCGGAGGCCATCAAACGCAGACTTCGCTCGCGGCGGGCCGTTTTGTGCGCTTTGAACCGCCGCGAAAGAGAAGGCATACCCGACAATCGACGCGAATGGGAAGGAAAGAGTTGGAAGAGGAATTGAAAGACGATGGTAACGGGAAAAGCGATCGCATCTCTTGCCGATAGACGGGCCGCAATTTCGGTGTCTCCGATGACGCAGCGGTTTGTCCGACGATCCCGTATGTCGACGGAACGAAGAGATGGCAAATGATAATCGCAGGATAAGTCCTGTGCTTTTTTTTTTTCAGAAACGTTACAAGTAACATTTACTTTATAAAAAAACTAAATATTTAAATTTTATCCAAAATCTTTGGCCAGTATTCACTGTCGAATTTTATGTTTAAGACCGTCTTAAATTTACCCTCAGATTCTCTACGGTTCATTTTATTGGCTATACGAAGCATTTGAAGGTAAACTTAAGACGGTCTTGAATATAAGATCTGGCTATGAATACCGACCTCAGACTTGCACTCACCAGGTGTGCTCATAAGTGAAATTGAACTTCTAAATACGATATGTCGCGCAATCAATTAATTATTTGAAAAAAAAAAAAAATGTGATTCTTCACAAAATCCTGCAACGTGCGAAAGTGAACGTGAAAAGTTTCAAATTCCCTATCTAAGAAAGACGTGTTATCAAATATCTCGAATGTATCGAAACATTGAAATCTCTTTTCGCGGTGCTAACTGGCTGCCTCGACTTTAAAAGATACCCGGTCGAATCTTCCTGCCCAGAAATAGCCGAACTGAAATTTCACGTGGCCGGTACGCATCCGCGTTGCAGCTGCGAGCACAACACGAGCCTGAATACGTGCGCGTGTCGCCGGCGTTTCCAGAAAAAGAATGTCGGTCTCTTGCTCTTTATACGTGCTACGTGCCACCCGCGTCTTTATTAACCTCTCTCTCCCCCNCCCCCCCCCCCTCTCTCTCTCTCTCTTTGTCTCTTTCCGGAGTCGTTTCAGCAGCTCGGAGGATCAAAGGGCTAATACAATTTCTCTTTCTCTCTCTGCCGCTCCCTGCAGCGAGACACGCGTACAACCACGACGGCGTCACGCAACGTCTAAACCGGAGGAGAACGAGCGAGTGGGCTAATAACTGACGTGCGTAAGGGAGAGACGCGGAACGCGCGCGACGCAACTCCGCGGCGCGTTGAATAACATTCGGCGTATAAAATAACCGCGCGCGCCGGCCGCGCACAAAGGACCCTTAGTCGCGGCACGGAGCGGTGGCAAAAAAGCGGTCGTTCGCGCGGGGAACGGAAACGGAGTGCGTAACCGAGAGAGAGAGAGAGAGAGAGAGAGTCGGACTTTGCCGACGACGGACACGAGGCGAGAGAAGAAAAGAGAACGAGAGGGCGATGCGGGGGGCCAAGCCGCCCGCGTACCCCCGGTCTTCTTTTCAGGGGCACGTCTCTCGACGGGACCTCGATCCCGCTTCTCCTCCGTAACCCGAGACGTGTAATTAGGAGCACCGGACCAAGATGAATGGCCGAGTGGTGTCGGTGAGTGGTAGGATGAGTGAAGGAGCAGAGAAACCGAGAGAGAGAGAGAGAGAGAGAAAGGGAAGAAGGGCGAGAGGAGAATATCGAAGGGTAGCAGCCACGGGGCACCATGGGCTCACTCTCCAGTGTAACCTCGTGTACGTTGCACGCGCGCACCCACTTCGAGGCCGTGGCGGCCGATATTAGGTATAGGTGTGCACCTATGTAATACCACACGTCGGCCACCTCCCCCCCGCCCCTTGCCGCTGCTCCTCCCCGTTACCCTGCCCTCTGCTCGTCCGCAGACTGAGTCTGCGTACACTCGTCGCTTCGCATCGTGTAGGTGTGCGCGGCTATCGAACCGGTTCCTCCTCTTTGAGAGGAGAGCCACCGTCATGGTGGAGAGTGGCAGCATCCTTTCCACTACTCGGACCTCGTCTCGTTGTTCCGAGAGTTCTCTTTCCCTCTCTCTCTCTCTCTCTCTCTCTCTAGTGTGAGAGACGTGAGGGAGATTCTCTCCGCGAGAAGGGCGCAAATTGGCCGGCTCCGATTTGGCCGAAGGGATGCCTCTCTTCTCTGTTTTTCCTCGTGACTCTTTAAACCCGTGTTGCTGAATTATAGAGAGAACAAAAGAGGGAGGAGGCACGATACGATAAGAGGAGAAAGATCTGTAATCTCTTTTTACTTTCGTACCTCCGTCCTCCTTTTTCCCTCGAAGAGCGGTGTGATATCCGATACAGTCGGTTGTCGTAGTCGCCGACCGAATAACAGGTTTGCGAATGAACTCGAGGCGGAGGTTCACGAGGTTCGCGATAATACGCAGGCCCGCTCGCGAATTTGATGATAAAATGGACGTTTAATGTGCGAGAGCGGGTGTAATCGCGGTGAACGTGCGCCGAGCACCGTCAAATTATCCCTTTTTGCGGGACACGAGAGCGCGTGGTATCGCGGTGAATTACTTAGAAGCGAGGTAGTAACGACAAGATATAAAGTTATCGGTCGTTTCAGAAATAATCGTCCCCCGAAGTGCCCGGAAAATATTGATTCAAGAGGTATAAAACGCCATATGAAGGCTGTATTAATGTGCTGAAAGTACTGACAGTACTCAAAATCCATAGTATGTACGTAACGTTAATTATAGATTTTCACGTAACGTTAGATTTCGGAGTATAGCCAAAGATCCATATTCTGAACTGACTTTCATCGACAAGAGCGGCTTAGATGCCACCTGATTGGCGCGTAAGGCATTTTTATCGATAAATATGAAATCAGAATACGGACTAAAGTCTCGTTCGAAGATCTGACGGTGCACGGTATCAAAACTGTACGATATCGAAACGAGGAAGCGTGGCGAGATGCGTACGCGAAGAAAAACAGTTCGTCCGAGCAACACGCGACTAAATGGAACGATTTACGCGGCACACGAGAGGTCGTTTTATTTTTTCATTGCGCGCCGCGTACTCGAGATGCTTGATCGTGCGCTTAAGCAAACCGGTAACACCGAAATATTTTACCCGGCGAATTACTCGGCGATTTTATCGCGAAGCAGAGCGGCATGCGATCGGGTATACCACAGCGGGTAACAATGCTCGACGGAACGTATCGTGTGCTCGGCGTATCGCCGCGCCGGCGATGCACTTGCCAGATATCTCGAATTTCCTCGCGCACGGAATGATACTCGCGCCCTCCTCGCTTTCGCGAGGCTCCCGGTTAAAACGCGTAACTCAATATCAACAACCCCGCCGCCGCGTTTCCTACGCCGACGATATCGCGGGGTTTAACGATCGTCGGGGAGAATCGCCCCGGGCCAGTTCTCTCTCTCTCTCTCTTTCTCGTTGTAACTTCAAAACCGCTCGCGAGCTCCGAGCTTTTTCGGAGTCGAGCCCGGCCGAGCGCGCGCCTCCGGTCGGGCCGCGCGATTCGGACTCAATTAGCCGTAATTGCATCGTCTCGGGCATCGGGGGAAAAAAGGGGTAGAAAGAGAGAGGAAGAAAGAGAGACCGCGCCGTAACCGGTCGGAGCGAACCGGAATCGCGAGATCGGCGTAGGATCTCCGAGGGGGAGAAAGAGGGAAGGAGAGAGAGAGAGAGAGAGAGAGGAACGCACCGCCACAGAAACTTCGATCGGCTCTTCCCTCCGCGTGATTCACCCCAACGAACAGACGAATGGATAGACAGACAGACAGACACCGGCAGCCAGCAGAGAGAGGAGGAGGGGGGGAGGGGGAAGCACCGTGTGCGCGAATCGAGCCGACGGCCGAATGTACACTACACTACTCCGGTTTTCGATGCGGTACTTACGCAGGCAGAGCAACAGCAGAAGCGAAGTGGCGCGCCGCATCCTTTTCTTTGACGTGAGATCGAGCGCGAAGGCAGACGACGAATTCAGAGGAAGCGGACACAGACGAGCGCGAGAGAACGAAGGGGGAAAATAACACTCCGATTCTCCGCGACGGTACTCTCACGTCGCGATCATTTTACGCTCTCGTTCCCGTACGCGTCAACTTGCAACGGCGAGTACCTAGCGCGAAAAGTCAAACCGACCGACCGGCGCGAAGCGACGCGCGACACTGCGGCGGCAGCGGACCCACGCCGGCGCAGAGCGACACCTGGCGGCGCGCTCGCGCCGCACTGGTCATCGACGAAGTATTCGTAAAGAACGACGACTTCGCGGGAGTTCGCCGTCACTCGTCGTCGATATTCGGACGGTTAGGGGCGGTAATTTATACGGGTTCGTTGTTGCTCCGGTTCTGGATGAAGCGGATGATTAATAACTGCATTTTGCGAATATCAGCTAACCGTTCGTGTATTCATATATCGTGTCATGGTCGAAGCAGTCGGTAATGTAGCAGCCCTGCGTGAACCCTAGGCCCTTCCAGTCCGAGTGATAAATCAATGATCAATTATTCTTTATCCACTCGAGCTGAAAATGTCAGTCGTGAAATTTTACCCCCGGTCGATGATCGGACGATACTCCGTCGATGCACCGAAGGTGCACGCGTTTGATTCCCTCGCCGCCAGAGTACGCAACGTGTCGCGCACGATGCAGCTTACACGGTCGATTGAACATTGTACTGCAAAGGGGGCTACGTGTACTCCGAGTGGCTCGAAAAACGCCCAACGTTTGGATTTTTCTGCCGACCGCATTATGGACTTTATGAACATGTCTCCTGTTGAGAGGTGATTCTTCATTCTTTTGTTTATACGTGTTATATGAGGTCCGTTATATAAAAAGGTAATGTGTAACGCCGTGATATTTATAGAACCACACTGACGAGTGTCGTCTATTGACTAAAGTATCGTTAAATAGTTAACCCTTTGCCGGAGCGGAGCCCTCGAATGCAAAGGGTTAATAATTTATCACCAGTGTATGTTTATTGTGCACTGATAATCGCGACAAGGCTCTTATTTGGCTTTATTTATAAGGTTTTCATTCTTTTTTTACATCGGAGTTCGCCTCCATATCTGTCGTTTGCTAATTATTTTAAATTGTACCCGTGACGTATCTCGTACGATAGTAATTTAATTATATTTCATGTTCAAGCGAGAACATTTCGATAGAACATTCTTAGACAGAACTCTCATGTTACAGAAATGGAAGAGGGAATGAAAAACATCCGTGTACAATTCAAATTCGATATATTATCTTCATACATCTTGAGACATGTACGTCGTTGTTTTTTGCTCGTCGATCATCTTATAATTATTGATAATATTTATAATAACAATCTAAACAGTCACATACTTATACTCCTACGCATCTTAAATCTTTTTTCTTACTTTACATATGGATTTTTTTTTTTCTTCTAGCTTATAATCAATCGACGTTCACGTCTGTAGAACAACCGATATTTTCGTTTACACGACGCAAATAGTAATATGCAATGTCTCGGTTTCGGAATCTTCATCATCGAAGATCTCTTCACAAAATGTCCAAATTTCGGTAATGAAAGTTTTATCATAAGCGATGCGCAAACCGCCCGATTAGGTATCTACTAAAAATTGCCATTACACCTTACGGAAAAAAACATTTTGATACATTTTGAATGATAATAAAACGAGTTGCACGGTTAAGCGGATCGTAATGTCGATAAAGGTACGATCTTATCGTAAGATCGGCAAACCGCAGTGTTAAAAACAAAAGACTAAGCAACGAAGCTTCAAGTTTTGAAAAGAAATTGCATATCACGACACTGATTGTCAGATATAAGAAATATATAACTTTACTCTTTTAAGTCGTTCTTTCCCTCTGCGTACGAAGATAATACAAGATAATACGTGGTAAATCCAACGTATATTCTTCGACAGCAGGACGGTGTATATGTGATATATATGTGTACACAATTAATTAAATTTTTTTTTATATATAAAAGATGTGAGATATTTTATTTCGCACGCGAAACAAATGTATCCGAAACGGAAATAATCAACAACTTTGACGTCCGTAACGACGTTCATTTTAATAGTCAGGTAATGATATATTCCTACACGAAAGAATGATACATATGTACACAGACCTGCACTATATGTTTTTATATATATAATTTATGTACATTGTGTACACATGTCACGTGCACACATACGCATATACCTCTTTTCGAAAATTCTCCCGTTGTGGATCCTTTTAATCGGCAAGCCAAATGAAACGAACGGGTATTCCATGAGCTATTCAACGTAATCCTAGCTGGATCAATTTTTTTCCTTGACATCATAAAAGTATTTATATTATATACAGTATATAGTTATCTCTGTATCGGAAAACATATGAAATCATTGCAGTGCGCTGTGAAAAAGTCACCATCGCGGCTGTAGAATATTTATTTAAACTATTGAAAACATTACGTTACATAATATTGAATATAATACAAAGCAATACGATAAATTTATGCAAAAAGAAGAAAGTAACTTCCTTGCAAATATTTTTCACATTAAATCTTCATCTCGAAGCATATTAATAACGCTTTCACTCTCTTTCTTTTCTCTTCATCGATGTTTATGTTATTATTATGACTAGTTGGATATCAACGAGAGTCTACACGTTCAACGCATCTTGAGGAAACTAAGAATGTAAAATGTCTCTTTCAAGTTTCTGGTCACACGTTACGGTTATCTCGGTTGATAACAGGACGAAAAAATACACTTTCAAAATTCTTACAAAATACGTTGATATAAAAATATCCATATATCCATAAAATGACACTTCTGATTAATTGAAGAAATTTCCAAATTTTTCCAAAATTTTTTTCTGCTCTAATAATCAATCAATAGTAACATCAATAAATATTTATTGACAATAATCAATGAATTAACGTGGCTAACCTTTTAACTACGCGATTTTATAATATTAATTTTATAATTATTTAGTGGTTATTATTGGAGTAAAAAAAAAGAAACATTTTTTACTTACTTTACACAAATTTGTTCAATCGTTCACAAACGTCACTTTATAGGCATATCTTTTTATTTCAACTTTTTACTTCGCAAGAATTTTCGCACATATTTTCTCGTTTTGACGTCATTAATTAAAATGACCACGGTAGGGAAACAGAAGCCTTAGAAGAAAATCATAGCTTGTCGATTTGAGATCATCTCGAATTTCTAATACTCTAGACGAGACGTATCGCTCGGTTCAACTTCCGAGATCTAAATTATCAATAGAAGCTATCTCGCACACCGCGCAACACATTTATGAAACCCTCGTAAATTCCACGGTCGGGAATGCATCTGAAAAAATAGTACACGATCGCGCGTGGTACGTCGTCCGGTATCGAAATGATTATGTCATAAATATATTTAAACTATGTCGTATCAATAAATGCGATAGGATACGTATGGCACTCTCGATCTCGGCCTGTGCATCCCAAGGTGCCTGAACGCTGGCCGAATGAAGGATATGTTTAATCTACATCGACATTCACTGGAAGTGGAGCTTCTAGTTTGGCACCGCATTACAACGACAAACGTCGTTTCGTACCGCATTATCCCCGCTGTTGTCGATGATATGTACCCAGCCTTCGTTCTGCGACTCTCCTAGCTTCACTTCCGGTCGCCCCATCCGGCACTGTTGTAGAACCAAGACGAGGCACTCTCGTCTCTCGTTTTGCTCCATGAATTGTCAAGGCCGCTACCTCCGCCGTCCTGGCGACACAGTATTGATTCTCTTTTACGTAACGCGTTTCTCTTCGGCCGTTTCTCCACTCGTTCTTTCTTACACTTTAGTCATGATCATCGTACGTATTTACAAGGGACAGATTTATTGGGTTGATGCGCAAAAGTTCGTTACATTTCTTCATCGAAATTTACGTATATGTAACATTCCTTTTAAAATATAATCATTCAATTAAATATGCGCCGTCTTGTTCGATGACTTATTATCTCTCCGGTAGCTACGTGCGTAGAAATGAATAAAAACGGGACAAACTTTTGCACCAACCCAATAAAAGGGGGATACGTTTATCTGGGAAATCAATTTAGGGAAGGAATATAGTCACTTCACCTACCACAACGTTCAACTGATGCGAAGCGGGCGAGAGGTAATCCATGTTGGTGTAGTACGATGAGTAATTCTGGTAGCACGGCTGCTGGGAAGCGGTCGTCGTCCACGCTAACCTTTGATGGTCACCTGGAAATCCCCCGCCGCTCTCCGTTATCGCCGGACTCCAGATACTACTGCTACTGCCGCCGCTGCTGTACACCGTGCCGCCTAACTGTCGGACAGAACGGGATGACGACGGTGAACTCGCGTGAACGATAAAGAACGATTATTTCGGGAGCTATGAAACGAAGGAGCACGAAAAGGCTCGAATCTAGATTGGCTTATCGCGCGCGCATAAACGAGGTGCGCCGCGTAGCCCAGACCACTTACGCTCGGTGGAGTCGTGCTGGCTGCTAACAGCAAACTAGTGGCATTTCCCGCGGGCTTATATTGCGGCGAATCCCTCAAAAGCGCCGGTGAACTTGCCGCCGAGCCGCCGGTGCCTCCGCTCCTGCGTGCAGAAACGCATTATAGCTCGCGTATTCCGCTTTCGCGCCATCCTTGATCGCGCGTCTCGGTCGATTAACGGTCACGAGCTCCGCTTGCCCGAGATTAAGGCAGTTGGTCCGCATATTTATTTTCTTGGGAATCTTTTCAAATTTCGATCGAAATACGATCTACACACATGTAAAATTAGGAGAAGATTGACCGCACCGAAGCCGGGATAATTGAAGTCCAAGTTAGTACTAGTTGCATCACAGGTACGAAAACGGCGATGTCGCGTTTTTCATTCCAAGGACCGAACTACTTTCAGTTTTAACGACAAACGAGAAGACGATAAAAGAGACTTGTAGAAATATTATAAAAAATTGTAAGTTCGTTGATCATTCAATTTTCCAGAAATTGATATGTAAGCTATATCATTTCTGATCAACAATCACAAATATATGCTTAACATAGGCACTCCCAGTCAGAAATATGATATATCAAAGCTGAAAAAACGGTCATTTATATGCGTAGATTTTGTCGAGCTTCTTCGTGTTGCATTAACCGTTACTTTTCTAAACCCAACTACTTTGCCAACTATTTTAAAGCACGGGGAGGAGGTGTGCAACCTCGCGTTTATAACGAATGTATATCTCGCGATGACACCTACAGCTTACACTCGTAATGGAAATAGTAATTAACGAGCTTAATTAGATCGTCGATTATCCCGCGCGAGGACGCTCACTCGGCCGAGATAAAGGTCGTTCGGCGCGATCGCGGGCGACGGAACGGTGTGGACGCGCGGCTCCTCGAGATAAGCGATATTTACAAGGGCGTAGTGGCGGGCACCGCGGCGGCGGGCGTGGGCGTGGTAGCAATTGAAGGACTTTTTCCAGGGGGTGGATTGCTAGCCGGATTCCCCGTCGGTTTCTTCGATCTCGGCGCCTTGTCTTGCTGCTGCTGCTGCTGCTTCTGCTGCTGGCGGCACTTGGCCCTGCGATTCTTGAACCACACCTGCGAACACATTTACATCCGCACGGCGTTACGCTGCGTACAGAGGTTGGGTCTACAATACGTGCAGCAAGCCATCAGCCTTTCGTTCTAAGCGATAAAGTAATATTAATGTTAGCGGCGACCTCACCGATTTCAATGTTCTTCATATAAATTGTCAATATTTTCAACATGACGCGTTGTTGCGATGGCGTCACGAGGCATACGTTAAATGTTTGCACGCTACGTTCAGCATTTCTGTCTATCCGGGTTGTAATAACGCTTAAAACCCAGGAATTGCAAAGTCTGATAACACTGGGAAGACTTTTAATGCAAAAGGCTTACTCTATACCTATCGTAGACCCGAACTTACGTAACTATCGAGCGTACGCCTAAGGCTCGTTATACAATCCATCGTATGTCGGAGTCGGAACGCTGTCGATGGTCTCCGATGAGAGAATGTTTTTTTTTTTTGCGAAAACGAGTTTTCTCTATTGGAGAACCATCAGCTGCGTTCCGGCGTATCCGACACACGACTTATTGTGTAACAGGCCTAAAGCTGCGCGCTGATTCGGCCGGCGGAAAATAAAGTCGCGCATCTGTCCGCGATATGAACCGGACGGGGCATTTTCGCGTCCCGGCGTGACACGGCGCGCACAAACGCGCGGCACAAAACGCGAGTCCGGTGCGCGTCGCGCAGAGCTTTCGCAAAGCTGGCGTAATAGCCAATTATAAGGGAATGCTGGACTGGCGCGACTATCAATTACCAATCAAGCTGACTGCAGCAGCGCGAACGAAAACGCGCACGCATATCGGACTGGTTCGCTACCAGGCTGTCGTTAATGCAACAGAATTACGAAAACCGATTGGAGTATAGGTCGCTCCCCTTCACCCCTCCGCCCTGTGCCACACATACACATATACGCATACCGAGCAACTCCTCTGAATGGAATAAGCCGATTTTGCGTACCAACGAAATCGCTCCGTTTTGCGCTTAAAGTGTCCACCGGTCTCGTACGGACACCTTGTAATAAAGCTGTTAATTACGCTCGCGTACATTACAAATCATTCTGTCCGCGTTTGAAGCCCCGAGTGGTTCACGCGCGAATGACACGGAATATTATTCTACCGAGGAGAAAAGCTATAAATGTTACACGCGGCTCTTTTAGAGACTTCGTGAAAAATGATGCGCCGCCTCAGGTCGTTCGGTCCGTCGTTTGCCCTCCGAAACGTCACAAGTACACGAGGATGGCAGCGAGGAACGAAGTGGAAGAAGGTAGAGGGGAGAAATGCGACAGGAAAAGAGACTGGAACTTGGAGAAGCCTCACGCGATCGATGTTAGAAGCGGCGAGAGAGAGACAGAGACGGAAGTGAGCTTGGGTTTCTACGGATTTTCTGGCGCGGACGACATTAACAGCTCGCGTTCCTCCAACGAAAGAGCCCGATACGAGCATATCGTGATGCAAAGCTAGCATGAATTTCCGAATTTCGAGAAACGAGAGTTTCCCGAACAAGCGAGAGAGAAATGTCGGAGACGTCTCAAAGTTGACCAACCTCACCGAAGGAAGTCGACGATAATATACACCAGGTGGCAGAGGTGTTGAGGAAAAGTAGAAAAAAGTGTGGCCTTGTTAGCGCCACAATAGGCGTAGAGAGATCAATACTGAAAAGTCATGCAGGGGTTCGAAAACAGTGATCATGAGTCGAGCAGTCTCTGGTTTTGCAGTCGCCGGCGAACGTGCAGAAGACTATGGACCACGCTCGCCCATTCATCTCGTTCACCAGGTGTGTTGGACGACAATTGCGGGATGCGTTGCGCCCTCTCTGGCGATGAAGGTGGAATATATGCATGGACACGTTTAGGATCGATCCTCTGGACTCGGCCAGCTCGGCCAAACGACCAGCGAAACGATACAAAGTTAGAAGCATTCAGAAGCGCGAGGCTGATGTATCGATTTCGGAAATGCCGTTTTTCTCCACGTTACACAAAACAAGTTCCTTCGACCACGAGCTATTGAGCGGCGACACTGCGACGAATTCTGCGTTTAGTTCGCGAATTTATATAGCCGCGTCGTAATTCTGTCATTTTTAACACCGCGAGACGCTTTATTGCCGATGCCCGAGAACTTCTCATGTAGGCGTTCGTACGGTGAACAAGTAACTTAATTAACTCCGACGAAAAAAACACACGAGGCAGGATCGATGATGACCGCACGATGTCTGCATGCCGACAGTGCGTACCCCTCGGTAACAAGACACTCTCGCACCCTTCGCGAACGCGTCTACGTGCGGGTCGCATTTTTCTACCTGCCGTGTACGACGGTAGAGAATTTCGCAATAAAATACCCCCGAATGGAGTCTCGTCACAGATAGATACATATCAGTGATCATCACTTTCTTTCCGCGATTTACCTGCACTCTCGACTCCGGTAGGTTGATCTTCATCGCCACCTCCTCGCGCATGAAGATATCGGGATATTTCGTCTTCGAGAATAAACCCTCCAACACGTCCAACTGGGCCCGGGTGAACGTCGTTCTCTCTCGCCGTTGCTTCCTCGGGTTGCCTTTAAACGCGACAGAATTTTTATCCGCACGACTTTGCCCCGCGGATACATGCATGAACTATGAATATTAAATCGGGGTATACAGTGTCAAACTACGTTTAATAAGTAATCGATGGCGATTAATAAAATCAACGAGCTAATCGTTAATAATTAAATTAACAACAATAACGTTTTCCACGAGTCCGACGCAACTTTCATGCATAATTCACTCTAGCCTTTATATATTTTAAAGCGATTAATAATTCCGCATTACACCACTTTAATGACACTTTTGTTAACGTTCCCCCGATCACGGCGCGGTATTACACTTTATTTTATTCATTTATCCGCGTTATTGACATAACTCCGTGTGAAATCGGCGGAAATGCTCCAAGGGGAAACAATTAGCGTAATCGCTCGCGAAATTTATTTCCATACCGATATGCATGCGTGTAAAAGCGGAAAGTTGCACCTGCACTCTATTCGGTTACTAGAAGTAATAAAACAATATGATGGGCACTCACAGTAGTAGGACTCACCGGCGGGTGTACAACCGGGATAACCGATGGTCGAGTGTAGCGCCTCGATCGGCGGCATCCCGAGCGCGCTCACGTAGGGATTCGTCTTGAGAGCGCCGTAGGGCCCTGCAGCGGATGCGCCGAACGCTGCGGGCCCGAAGAGCTCGGAGGCCGAGGTGGTGGAGGCGGCGAGGCCCCCGAGATCGGTGGCGCCGGCGCCCCCGCTGCAGCCGGAAGTACCTCCGAGGCTGTTCGGCCACATCACCACCCCCTCGGCCCCCAGCACGACCACCCCCCCCGCTGCGGTCTCCCTAAAGAGACGTCCTTGACGTCCAAGTTACAGGTTCCGCCTGAAAGACGGCGCGAACGGAATCAGCGTTACGTTTCTTTGCTCGAAGGATCGCGAGAGAGAAGAACACTTTGCGCTGAACAAAGATTTTATTTGTCGAAAAAAAAAGATGTAAACGGTAAATTCCGTGCCGTAGGAAATTGTAAAAACTATGAACAATATTACGGTTCGAACGTGACCTTTCGCAAATAAATTAGTACATTGTAATCTTTAGCGATGTAGTTCAGTGAAATACATCTAATATTTTTTCCATGCGCTTGTAACTATGTGTGTCGCTCCTCCTCTTTCTTTCTTCCCACTAATCACAATTAGACGAAATATTACCGGCTTTGTTATCCTCTCTTACTAATGTCGGTTTCAGCCCTCCAATGGGAAGGAGAGAGAGAGAGAGAGGAGGAGAGTCTATTCTATATGTCTATGATTTATGTTTAGGACTGCAGAGGCTGTCTGTCGATGGTCTGCGCGCGGATCCTTTCCCGAAACGGAGGAAAATCCCGTTGCGGCTGTACGCGGCGGTTGAATCGAGTGGATCGCTCGTCGTCGATCGAGAAGGTGGGAAGCAGCCACCGCGGCGCTTTAAACAAATACAAGCCGATCATCGTCGCCCGAAGTGGTAGAAGGTGCGGACTGCGGCTGGCAGCTGCACGCACGGGAGATAATCCGACGAAGGTGCAACAAGACTCCAAGGTAGGTGCATCCCCGAATATCTCCCCTCTCATTGGGGGCCAGCTCACAACCTAATTCCGAAAACGCAGCGGCGGTCCGAAAATCGAGACAGACAACGAGAGACAGAGAGGCAACCGTGAAAACGTGGAGCGCGCTCGCAGCCTTTCCGTCGCGCTCTTAGCCGTTGGCTTAAGTCGCGTTTTATCCTCTCCGGTTACAAAGTCAGGAACGACGGAGACGACGACGACTATCGCCTGCCCCTCCCTTTTCCCCGTCCCTTCCGTCACTATCGCGCACCGTCCGCCTTCTCCGGTGGTGGCGACTTGTTAATTTCTTTGCCGTCACACGTTTATTACATCTGCGCGATGCGGCCCCGTGCACATCTGTGGCGCGGCCGAACGAGCGGGACGCGTATTGTTTCCTGCCTTCTGGACGCCGTCGTCCACATGTCTCGGATTAAGGGATGCTAATCGTTAAGTAATTAACGGCCGTGCCGCAGAAGAACAATCGAATGACGACAGCGACGTCGGGAGAACGTCACACGGTGATGAGGATGAGTGTCCCCGCGAGTTAATCATTTTTATCGAGCGTCAAGGCGGAGGGACACTTGGCCGCTTTTAAGTACTCATTTTTTTTTTTCTTCATGCTGTTGACAATCGGAACGTCCCGAGCTCTCGTCGAGCGATGATAATGACGACTTCGCCGGAGGAATTTCGCTCCCGGTGCGAATTAATTCGATTTTCATCGAGCGCCGAAATTTGCCAACGGCAACGGTGATGAACGACGGGCCGCTCGATGAATTCGAAGAGACGAATTGCAAGCGGAATTGCGTCTCGGTATCTCAGTCACCAGCCTGTTCATCCCAGGAGATTTCTGTTTACAACGACGATGACTCCCGTTTGGCCCGTCGACGTGGCCGTTCGTGGTGGTGTGCGATTCCGAAATGAAATCTTACACCAGCGAGCCCGTCTTTAATAATGTATTGTCCCCGTGTGCTCTCTTAACTCTCCGCGCTATATTGAAACTAGATTTCACTGAATAGAAGTGCGCGCGCGCGCAGCGCGAAAGGACTCTTCAGAATACTAATAGAGCTGCCGCAGCGCTGGTCTTTTCGCGCAAATATGGATAAAACACCCACATACGTTCTCGTACCTCGTACACGGAAAAAAATTAGTCTTAAAGCAAGAATAGATGTTCTCACGTATATAAGCAAGAATATTATAATCTTCTTAGAAGATTTTTAGCCTTGAATTGAGTTCAAGTAATATTTGCATCAATATAAATTCAATCAAATCAAAACTAAAAGTCTCTTAAGAGGATTATGATATTCTTGCTTATATATGAGAATATCTTCTTGACTTAAGACTCATTTTTTTCCATGTAATGACGCATGTCGCAACGTATATCGCGTATATATCGTTTATATCCTGTTGCGTTCGCGATCGAAATTTATAAACTGACTATTGGAACATGCGTGGCACGATTTCACTGTCTCAGTACATTCCCTGGTAAGAACGTATGCAATTTTCCTATACACCCATCCAGTTATTGTCTAATGTTAATGCATCCTCATTAATTGTAACAATATTAGCTTAGGAAATGGAGTAGAACTTGAGAGAGCTTTATTCGGGGGTAAAAGAATTCACGTCTTAATTAAAAGAAAAAAAGGGGAATTACAACCTTCATGGATTTGTTTCCCACGTTTCGTAAACATATCAATTTATTTTCTCAGGATGATGAACAATCTGAGAGAATTTCAGGGAGAAATAAAGTAAAATATTCACGAATTTGGCGCTAACTCGGAAGCTAAATTAAGCATTTCTCGACACCGCGAGAACTTAAAATATCAAGGATGCTGCGAGTTTACGAAGTAACAGAAACTTTCGGCGAAGTAGGACGTTTGTTACTATTTGTTTGCCGTTAACATTTGTTGTTAAAATTGAAGTTTACTTTAAAAATGTAATATTGAAGTTTACTTTAAAAATGTAACGATCGCGGCTTTGAACGATACGTAATCAAAAATTCGAATAATAAGAGACTACGCACGGACCTTTTAGTGCAATATAACACATTATATCTTACTCGCTCTTACTCGCCCACTATTATTTGAACTTAAATTTACTTTACCGCGCGCAATTGAATGCGACACGTTATCGCGCGCTCTGTAATGAATAAAATTCCGTATCGGTGGAATAACGTTTTCCCCCGTGTCGAAGCGACATGGAGCAACGAGCGCTTCACAGATGTTTGCTCAGCGACTCGATGAAATTACAAGTACTTAATATCGCAGACGTAAAAGGCGAGCCCGCGCCGTATTGCGTTTCCAATATTACGTCTCATTACGTCCGCGTGCAAATTTCCTCCCGATCCCCGGGACCGGAATGAAGTTGCCACCCGGTGAAAAAGAATCCATAGAGTATACACTACCCCGGTGACGACGCCTCTCTCGTCCCGGCTATATTAAAATTTTGCCCGCCATGAAAGGAAAGGGGCGAAGGCCCGAAGAAAGGCGGGGTATTCTCCCGGGTCCTCCTGAAATCAGTCAGGCGCGAATCTCCACTTTTGTGCACTTACGCGCACTTGGCACCGGCCACAAAGCACTTGTTACACGCCGCGCCCGGCATGGGCGAAACGCCGAAAGCAATTGTCACTTTCGGAAACTTTTTAACGATCGCGACGCGCACACACCGCGCGCACTCGCCGCGCTAACTTTCTTATCCATTTTACATTTCACGCTCACGACACGATCCCCCTCGCTTCGGTAACCGAGTGAATTCACTTTCGCACGAAACCACGCGAACATTCGTTCACGAAACAATCCACGACCGTGCCGATCCCCCGAAGAACTTTTCAGTTTTCGTCGTTAGGTTCGATTCGGCTCGAAAATTCTGGCTGTCCCTTCGAAACTGAAAGGACCGTCGAGTTGTATTATCGTCCGCACGGCGCGTTTATTTGCACTTTCGTCATATTAAAACCGCGTCGTATGAAAGTAAGACAGAGGAAGAAACGGAATAAGAGAGAATAAAGAGAGAGAGAGAGACACTCGACGATCCTCTTGTTGCGGTAGCCAGGAGTCTCTTTATCTTTGTGCACTTTGGGTGCATGGGACAATGCACTTGTTACAGACCGCCAAGTGTGGACAAAATGTCCAAGCCGCCACTCGATTGGCCCTCGAGGGCACTCGAGTAGTCTACGACCCTGTGGAGAGCCCGAGAGAAACGGTAGGACTAGAGAAAGATAGCTAGGGTGCCTTTTACACCCCCGCGCGCACCCCTCCCCCCCGACCCCCTTCTCGTCGAATCGATCTCCCGCTGCAACGAGGCACTCCCACCCTCGCCCTTCGACAGTTCGGCCCTAGTGCAAACACTTTGCGTTACCAATCGACAGATATATACCGGCATGCCGTCCCTAATGACTGTTAAATCCCCATTATTACGTCCCGCGTGTGTGCCGTTCGCGCACGTATGCGCGAGATTAAGAGAGCAAGAAAGAGAGAGAGAGAGAGAGAGAGAGAAAGAGAGAACACTAGAGAAAAAAAGAGAGTCTGCCCTCTCTCGTTAGCGAAGAATTCGATTTGCGAACGTCCGGTGGATTCGTGCAGATGCGGTTAAGCCAACAGAGCGCACGTGCGCGTCTCACTCTTGCATCTTGAATCCGCGGCAAATTCCCGAGGTATCAAGCCCGAGGGGGGCTATTTCGGTTCCGTCGTCGATAAGCCACAATGTTATCAATCGGTATATATGCTGTGCCATTCTCTAGCCCAAAAGTTACCATGATTTTCGGCCCTACACATAACGCATGAGGTTGAAAAAGCGCAGAAGTAACTTTGGTTACAACAGCAGGGTTATAATAACTCTAATTACAACAGTTTCGATCTTAGCCCGGATTTACAATAGGTATAAACCTTTGACCTTTGCTCAAAGCAATAAAATGTAATTTATAACAAAAGGCACTCCCGGCACTGCCAAAAGTTATAATAACACTTAGATCTCAGGTATTTGCGACGTCTGATAGCGCTGGAAACGCTATCTGTTAGAAATTACTTAATTTAATGCTTAGAACACACAAAAGACTAAATGCCCTGATTTATATACATGTGTGAAAACCTAAAAATTGCGTAATAGTGAGTTTAGTTTAAAAGTAGTTGGAAAGTAATCAGTCTAGGGAATGGTACAGCATATATGACGCCAATTTTATGCATTTTTGAGCAGTTACTAGACGATTATATTAATTTCTGTCTAGTTATT